TATCTAATCGCTTAGCCTCCTCGCGTACGGTACTGTTGTCGAACTCCCTCCCTCCGTCCGACGTTATGCGATCCGGCACTCCGTAGAACTGGGCCCACGTTTGGAGAGCTCCCACAACAGCCTCCGACAACTTATCCTGTACTCGATGTGTCATCGCTACCTTACTGAAGAGGTCGATCATTGTAATCCATTTAAAACCCCTCCACGTGAATGTATCGATTTGCACATCCTTCAATGGCATATCTCCCGTAGGGGTTTCCTACTGTAATCCTGGAGATGGACGTCTATCATACTTAGTGCGCGCACACACATCGCACCTCCCAATGATTTCCGAAATTGTCCTTCTCATGCCGTCCCAGAAATATCTCCTGCGCAATGCCTGAAACGTTTCCTGTACTCCCCGATGATTTGTCTTGCTCTGGTGATGTGCTAGTGTTACCTCCCTCTGCTGCTCCCTCTCCGTTAACGTTTCTACTAAGTATTTACATTTAATAAATGACCTGTCGATGCCTATTTTTTCTAATCTCCAGAGTTTCTTGATCTTTTTCAAGATGGTTGCATTCCCCACATATAGATGGTGAACTTTTCCCGGCTCCGAAGCGTCGTGCAATGCCTTACAAATCTGTTCTTCTTTCACACCTGGTTGGGACCAAATGGTGTTAATCTTCTTCTTCCCATATTTACTGAAGTTGATCTTCATAAACCCCGACGTTCTGGTCTTCCAAATCACCTGTCGTCGCTTATCATTGATGGTCTCCTCGCATTCCTCCATGTCTGTAGGCCTTTCTTCCACTGAGCTCTCTTCTCCTCTCGATTCCTCTGTTCCCGCATTCCCGGGTCCCCCTTACCTCTCTGGTGTCCACACTCTCAAAAACTGACGCAAGTCCCGCGACGACTCCCCTTCTTCCTCTTCGATAGCATTTATCATTATGGCTCTGGACAGCCAGTCCGCTACCACATTTTCCTTACCCGGCTTATACATGACCTCCATATTGTACTGGCTTAGAAATTGCTTCCACCGAGTGACCCTTGCCGACGATTCCTTCAGATTACCTACCCATTGCAACGGTCTGTGATCGGTATGCACAATAAATTTTCTGCCAAAAATATACGGCCTAAAATGTCCTACCGCCCATACTACGCCCAAGAGTTCCCTCTCCAGGGCGCTATACCGCATTTCCACCTCTGTAAGCCGCCGACTTGCATACGCTACTGGCTGTTCCCCATTAGTTCCTTCTTGAGCAAGTACTGCCCCCAACGCATACGCACTCGCATCCGTTGTGATGATAAACGTCTTCGCAAAATCGGGAAAAGCGAGTACCGGCTTATCTTGTAATCTCGCATTGCACTTCCTTACGTTGTCCTATATCGCTGGCGTTATTGTTATATTCCGGCCTTTCTTCAGAAGATTATTAAGAGGTGCTAAATACTCCGCCATTTCCGACACGAACCGACGGTAATAGTTTAGTGTTCCCAATAATCTGCGGATCCCTTTAACATCCCTGGGCATCGCCATATTTTGTATTGCCTCTACCTTCTGTTTATCGGGCCTGATCCCCTCCTTCGAAATGGAATGTCCCAAAAATGTTATCTGGTCCTGTCCCAGAATCGACTTTTCCACCGACAACTTCAACCCAAATAGCCTTAATCTGTCGAATACGCGCCCCAGATGATCTACGCGTTCCTCTTCATCCTTGCTAAAGACCAAGAGATCATCCATGTATACTTCACAGAATTCTTCGTCTAATGCTCTCAAGAATTCGTCCATAAACCTCTGGAAAGTTATGGGAGCGTTCTTTAACCCAAATGGCATGCGAGTAAACTCGTAATGCCCCTTCTCGAAAGAAAACGCCGTTTTGTGTTGGTCCCTGGGGATCATACGAATTTGATAATAGCCCGCCTTTAGATCAAGAGTACTAAAGATGGTGGCCCCGCTAAGTCTGTCAATAATATCATCAAATCGCGGAAGCGGGTACTTCTCGTCTAGGGTGTTGTCGTTGAGCTTTCTGAAGTCGACCACCACTCTGTACTTCTGCTCTCCCGATGACGTCTTTTTCTTCACCGCCCACAGGGAACTATTGTATGGTGACGTGCTGTCCACGATGATGCCCTGCCTCTTCAAACTCTCTAGCTCCTCCTTGATATGGCGGTGTAAAGTCTGTGGATAACGTCGCTCCTTCACGTACGTCACCTTTTCCTGTTTTAGCGGAATCTCATGCGCCGTCCTCCCCGTTGCGCTCAACACCTCCCCGTCTTTAAAAACAATATCCGCGTACTCCCCCCTCTTTATCCTCTGTACCCAATGTTCCGCTTGTTCTATTGCCCCAATGTTCCCTTTTTCTCCCACTCTCCCTTTCTTACACCGGTACCTCTTCCCTCCCATTCGCACCCTCCAACCCGTTCCCCTGTAATCTATTCTTGGTCTTACTCTACTCAATAGGTCACATCCTATTATATCCCCGTATTCCCTCGGCATATTCTCTACTACATGAACCCTCAACTTCCCTCTTCCTGTCACCCATCTGTCTAAATCTAATTCTACTTCCCCTTCCACCCTACAAGGACCACCCAAAGTAATCAACTTACACTTACAACTTTTTTATTCTCGGTAGTCTCTCTCCTTTACACAACTCCTCCAACATCTGTCTAGATACTATTGTACTAGAACTTCCCGTATCCACCAGACACTTTCCCTTCACCACAACACTTATAATTGGCAAACCAACGCAATCACCTCCAATATTATTTACTACCGCGTGGCTGCCTCTCCTCTGCTCCTCTCCTCATTTTTCCGATCTTCCTCTCCTGTCCGCAACTGCTCCTCCTTCTCCACTCTTTCTGCTAATTCTGCCTCCTCGAGCTCCTCTTACCACCGTCTCCTCTTCCTCGGTTCCAGATGTTCCCGATGAATCGTCTGACTCCGATGCTGCTCCTCTCTTTCTCCACAATCTCTGAGCGTTCACTTTCATTGGCTCATCTTGGCCCACGTCTCCCCGTCTACTCATATACGGGCATTGTCTGGCAATGTACCCCTCAGTTCCGCATTCGAAACATCGGGTGCGCGGGCAATTCGCCACTAGGTGGCCTATCTTTCCGCACCCGTGGCATCTCTTCATTGCCGTTCTTTCTCTTGCACTAACTACTCCTCCTCTTTTCTTCCACCCTTCCTGTCTCGCTTTGAACCTCCCGGTTTCTGCTCTCCTCTACGATAATCTGTTCCACCCATTCTCATTCTCCTCCTCTCCCCGGGCTGCTTCTTCCTCCCGCGCGCTTGTATCAATCATCTCCTGGGCACACTTCACAAAAATCTTGTCTCTAGGTAGTCCATCCCTCTTTCCCGTATCTCTACCCAGCTGAACTTTAAGGATGGTTGACAAGAACGCCATCCTTGCTCCTGTTTTCGCCGCATCAGCTACTTCCCTCGTCTTCTCAGTTACGCTATTAAATCGTGCCAACACGTTTGCGGCATTTTGTCCGTTGGTCTGATAAGGCTGTTTCCTCTCCCGAAACATCTGCAAGATGTCCTCTTCTGGAGCCCAGCGGCCTCCTCCAAATGCCTTCTTCAGCCTATCCTTCACGGTGTTCCATGGGGTGTCTTCATCCGCCTGAATCATATTCAGCACGCTCCTCTTAACCCGGCATACCAAAGCTGCCCTCAATGCGTTGGCATCCATCGGATCTATTAAGTTCTCCTCTTCTTTAGCCAATATACGCGATATCACCCGATCGCCTCCCTTTAGAAAGTGATTCAACTCACCTACTCCTCCATCAAATCTTTCCAAATCGGATATCGCTCTCCTCAGGTCCTGCGATGTCGCCGTTCTCACCTTCAGCCATTCCAACGTCGTTGCATGTGCTGATGCTAACGTTTCAGTATTTATCGTAGGAAAATCCCTAGCTAACGCTTCTGACAGCGGAGGAAACGCTGGCGGTGGAGCCAACGGTGCCGCAGTCGGCTGTGCTACCTGTGGTGTAGGCAGTACTGGCGGTTGACCTACTCCGTTCGGCATCCTTTCTTTTAATTATTTCCGAGACGTGAATAAAAAGAGAAAAAAAAAACTAACTCCACAATTAAATCTAAAGGTCCCGGGTTTCGGCACCACTTACGTCTGTTCGAACAAGAAAGAATAAAAAAAAAGAAAGAAAAGGTCCGAAATAAAACACGTGGTTGCTCAAATAAGACTGACTTTATTCTCTCCGGAATGCTATATATATAGCATTACGTTTTGTTTACAATTCCTGGATAGGATTAACTAATATATCATCTTACATCTAACCATAACTCCCCCCCCCCGCCAGTTTATGAACATTCCTCATAAACTAATGCAGGGTTACTGATATAATACAGAACAAAACAAAAATAATCTTCCTTAACACCTTACACTTGTTCTTACCACTATACACTTAAAATAAACTAAAAAGATCTCTTCTATTCTGCTAGAACAAGAAAAAAAACACACACAAACAAAACAACAACAAAAAAACTCATGTTTACATCGTCTTACTGATAGTGAAACAAAATTATTATCAGCCAATAAAATAAAATATTCAAAATTCGTCTACTATACAATAAAATACACGCCAAGAACGGCAAACCAATTATTTCCAAACTTTGTTACTTAGTTGAACTATAATCTTGTTATGCTAATCCATTGAAACATGTTGTTAATCTTTTGCATGGTTATCAGGTTCAATTCACTAAGTTATTTTGTGTTTTATAGGGTTAATAACCTTGCAAAATATGTATTATCATTTTATTTAAATATATTAATGTCATTTAGTTGTTTCTCTTTTTTGTAAACCCACGCAAGTATATGTTTTATAATATCCACCATTCTTAATTTGTACCAACTCCTTCTTATTTTCTTGCGTGGGTACGAATCCAGTTATTCCTATTAATCATATACAATTTAAATTCTTATAAATAGATAAAATAAGCAATATCAGTAATCAATCGTAGAGCTATACCGATATTATTGAAACAAATTATTTTATTTCAGATAATATCAAAAAATTAAATGTTACCTCAAATTTTCGGAGTTTTAAGAAATACAATCATACGAAGCCTCTGAAAAATACCAAGAAGTTACCGGTATCTAATAGAAGTCCCCTTTCCACTGCAACTGCTATTAAAAATAATACACGTAGAAGACCAACAAAAAGTGAATATCGTTATTTCATCACTATAGAAAACCACACCTAAATACCCATCTCAATGATGATCCAAGAACTGGACCTTTTAACAATAATAATATTAATACAATAAAAGGCAGAGGATAATTTATTAGATTAGATAAATTATTTATTTCTCTTTGATATTTTTTTTGCTTTTTGTTTGAATATAATTAAGTTTTATATTCAATAATTATATATGTACACATTATTTCTTATTTCTATGTTTGAGTTGAAAATATGTTACTATTAATTTTTTATTTAATTATTAATTATTAATTATTAATATTAATAATTAATCACATGTTAGGCCAATATTATTAACCAACATTGATTGATAATCATAATACGTTGGCTTTTTCAGGAGGAGGATTTAGAAAACCGAATCATACGAAGGTTCCAACAATGACTAAGAATTTACCAATTAAATCTACCCGCCCCTACTCCACTTCAGTGACTGTAACTAAAGAAGAATCAAGAAAACCCTATAAAGGTGGATAACAATATTCCAATATTATATATATATATATATATATATATATATATATATATATATATATATATATATATATATATATATATATATATATATATATATATTATTTATTTGTTTATTGGAAGAATATTAATACTATCTATCACAATCATGGACAGGGAATAATTTATAAGATAAGATTTTTTTAATTATTAGATTAAATTTCTCTTTTGGATTTTTTACCTTTTTGTATGAATAAATAATTAAGCAAGTTTTATTATCCAATTATATCCAGTAGTCATCTATATATATATTCTTTCTCTATGTTTTAGTAGAAAATATGATACTCTTAATCATTTACATTGTAAAACATAAGATCAGGAAATATTGATAATTAATCATAGGTTTGTCTGTTGCTCTAGTGCCCTCTTTCAGTCTCCACTGGCTTCTAATACTAGTGATGCGGCTAGAAAAGTGGCGCTGGGATCTTCCGGAGTCTTGCTTTGCCTTCCACATGTAGGGGAAAGAGCCTGGCTCGGAGATTATTGGGCGAATGTATATATTGTATATAGTTATGATTGTGTTTAGAAGATTTTATTTTATTTTATTTGTTTATTTTCTTTTTTTTTTCTTTTTATTTACCTTCATCATCAGTATTATTTATTTACTTCTTATATTTATATTTATTTCTTTATTATTTGTATATATTGTATGAATCAGAACTTTTAGCCCTAATGCTTATAGCCCTCCAGCAGCCACTGATTGTATTTTTCAATAAATAGATTAAAAAAAAAATGATAGGTTGCACCAATATTATTTATTTTTTTTATTGAATAATAATACAATCAGCCACTGTTGGAGGGCTATAAGTATTAAGGCTAAAAGTTCTCATTCATACAGTATATACAAGTAATACAGAAGTAACTATAAATATAAAAAGTAAATATATAATACTTTAAAAAAAAATGTAAATCAATAGGGGAAAAAAAAATAAATAAACAAAATAAAATAAAAACTTCTAAACACATTCATACCTATATACAATATATACATTCGCCCAGAAATCTCCGAGCCAGGCTTTTCTCCCAACATGTGGAAAGCAAAGCAGAACTCCAGAGATCCCAGTGCCACTTTTCCAGCCGCACCAATAGTATTAAAAGCCAGTGGAGGCTGAAGGAGGGCACTAGAGCCACAGATGCTCAGGACTTGAGTGGAGAAGCTGGCCATTGCCAGGACTCCAGAATCATATTTACAATAGATCTCGCGGCCACTGCCGTTTTAACCTTCGAGGGGGATTGTAGGGATGGTGGGAGCTGGATAGGGATTGAGCTAGAGGATTTGGATGATGGTTAAGGTTCTGGTGAAAATTTGAGAATCTGGATGGGATGATGTTGAGGACAAAAGGGGTGTTAAGGTCATGGTGTAGGGTCTTATTTGTGACATAATATGGGGCATTGGCTATTGTTATAAGTACTTTAGACTGGAAGGATTGGATGCGTTTGATATTCGAATGTTTAGCAGTTCCCCACAGTTCAAGTCCGTAGGTCCAGATAGGTTTCAGTATTGTCTTGTAGATTAAAAGTTTATTTTCAATCTAAAGATGAGATGTCCTGCTTAGTAGTCTATATAGCGTTGGTTAAGTTCTTGTCTTTTAAGTTTCGTATGTGGGTTCCAAGTTAGTCTTTTGTCTAGAAGGAAGCCAAGGTAACGGACTGTATCCGAATAGGGAAGTGGTATTGAATTAAAAAGGATTGTGGGACAGGATCTGCGTCGCAGAGTGAAAATAATATGTTTGCATTTTGCTTCGTTGATTTTAATGCGCCAGTCGTTGCACCACTGCTCAATCAAGGAGAGGTGAGATTGTAGGTTTTGAGATGCTATTTGAGGATCTGAGTGGGAGGATAGAATGGCAGTATCATCGGCAAATGTAGCTAGGAAGGTATCGGGATTTGAAGGGATATCGGCAGTGAAAAGGATGTAGAGAACTGGACCCACAACACTGCCTTGTGGAACACCAGACTCAACTGGATAGTAAGTGGAGAATTCGGTGCAGCAACGGACTTGAAAGGAACGATTTGGGAGATAGGATTTGAGGACTAGGTATAAGGATTGGGGTAAATGGATTTTGAGCTTGAAAACCAAGCCATCACGCTACGTGCCACCCGGTCGAAAGCTTGCGCTACGTCCAGAAAGGCACCAGTGCAATATTGCTTGTTTTCAATTGCAGATGATATATGGTCCACAACACGAAGGCCTTGTTGGACAATGGAATGTCTTGAGCGGAATCCAAATTGATGAGAAGGAATGTTGTGGGATTCGAGTATGGGTAGGATGCGTTTGAGGAGGATTTTCTCAAAGATTTTTGAGAGTTTAGGGAGTAAACTTATCGGTCTGTAGGATGATGTGTTATTAACGGGTTTGCGTTGTTTTGGAAACAGCGCGATTATGGAGTGTTTCCACATCAAGGGAAAGTTGGTAGTACGAAGGATGCAATTATATAGATAGGTCAGGAATATAATTGATTTTTTGCTAAGTTGTCTAAGGATTTGTGAAGTGAGATCATATCCAGGGGATTTTCGGGGTTTTAATTTGTTTATGAGGAATTTGACCTCAGAGTGGTTAACAGGTTTTGGAGGTAGAGGGAGAGAGGAATTGGTGAAGAGAGGAATCCTTTAACTTCAGCAGTGTGGGTGGGATGGAGTTGGGGATGGGGAGTGAATGTGTAGGATAGATGTTTAGCAAAGTCTTCAGCTCTATTCGCATCTGACGAAGCCCAGGAACCATCATCACGGCGGAGGGGGTGGGTAATGGATTGGACTTTAAGGATTTTTTTAGTTACAGTTCAGAGGGAGTTATCCCTAGATGATAATGAGGAAAGGTAGGAATTGTAGGATTGGGTTCTAATGATATCCAGTTTCTTTTTTACCTGTTTGGAATAATAATTATACGATTTCCGGTCATCAGGATGCCTGGTTCTTTGCCAGAGGGCCCTAGAGCATAGTTTGCTATGGATAATGTCCAATAGGTCTTGGGGTAGAGGATTTATACTGAGGTGTTTTTTGGGACGATCAGGTGAGGATGCAGTCCAAACTGCTTGCTGGATCAGGGTAGTAAAGGAGTCCACTGCATCGTCAAGGTCTTCAGGCGTTTTTAAGGAAACTCTGAGGTCTATATTATCATTTAATATTTGACGGAAAAGGTTCCAGTTAACTGGTCCCCTGATAAATGAATGAGAGGATGATTTAAGAATGGGTGATGTTTAAACGGTTAGGACTATAGGATTGTGGTCTGAGGAAAGATCATCAAGCCTGGAAATGGAATAGTGTAGTGATCCTAGACCTTTGTGGAGGAAAAAGTCTAGAAGGTCGGGATTGCGGTTGGGATCTGTTGGCCAGTATGTGGGTGTATTAGGTGAAAGGATGTTGCTGCGATGGGAATTAAGTGCAGATAGCAGTGTTCGCCCTCGGGAATTTGTGGATCTGGCTCCCCATTGTTGGTGTTTTGCATTTAAATCTGCACCTAGGAGGAAATGGTGTCCTAAGGAATTCAGGAAGGAAATTATTTGGGATTCGGAAATGGTTATTTTAGGCGGGGAATATGCCGCAACTAATGTTATTGGGTAAAGGGAAGTTTGGATTATTACGGCAGTGGATTGTAGGAAATTATGGGTTGGTAAGGGAAATAAATGATGGGAGAGAGATCGGTGGATAATTATAGCAGTGCCAGCATGTGCTGTTCCATCAGGATAATCGGTTCTATAAATATTGTAGCCAGGAACGTTGAGTAGTCGTTTGTTGGTTAGTCGGGTTTCAGTTATTAGTGCTATGTCGATGTTTTTGTCATGTAATAAGATTGTCAGTTCGTTGATGTGATCTCGAATACCATTCGCATTCCATAGGAGAATGGAGAGGGATTTGGTTGAGGACATTTATGGATTTCTCGGCGGTGGAATGAGGTTATATATAACATTGGTAAGTAATGAAATAAGAGGGGTGATGAGGGATCTAAATTCAGAGAGAAAAGAAGTTAATAGGCTTGTGAGGTCAGTGGAATTGGAAGGAGGAAGAATGAATATCTGGGTATTGAACCTAGGTTCAGGGATGGAGGGATATGGGTCTTGAGGTTGATGTGTGAATTCTCGGGGTTGAGGTTTTTGTGCCAGAGCCTGAGATTGAGTGTTTATAATGTCTCCTTTGAACCTCTGAGCATAGGTCACTCTTCCGTTCACTGTTCTAGAGGGTTGTCTTGGTGGCCTGGATGCCCCTTCTTCTCCAGGAGTTGCGTACATTCTTGTTTTTAATTCCTTATATGTTTGACAACCCTGGTAGTTGGCAGGATGCCCATGGTGGCATAAAGCGCATACTGCAGGTGAAGTTCTAGACTTTCTACAGTCTTCTGTTTTGTGTTACTCACCACACCTCACACATCTAGGAATGTGATGACAATATCTTTTCGTATGGCCATAAGCCTGACAGTTATGGCATTGAACGATGTCGCGCTTGGTGTAAGGCTTTTCCACAACAACGCTGGTGTAATAAAGGAGTGTGACCTTGTAGATGTCTTCGACCTGGGGCGTTCGGTCAAGGTCAACGAAGAATAGTGGAAGCGGTATTTTATTTTTTATTCCAGGCTGTTCTCTATCCTCCTTGAATATGTTCACTATCTGGCGAACATGGAATCCCATACCCACGAGCTCTTCTTTTATAGTATCTGTTGGCGTAGATGGGTGCAGTCTTCTGATAACGACCCTGAGCGCCCTCTCTTGACGCAGTTGATACGTGTGGTAATCAGCCTTGGTGTCAGATAAATATTTTATAATTTTCTTTAAGTTTCTGGGGTGTCGGGCATTAATTTAGTGTCATTGGTGCGGCTTTGGCATAAATATTTTCCTGAGCCCACTAGGTTATTCAATTGGTGACACATTAACTGAAAGTTTTTAATATTCCTAAGGAATATTGGTGGGGGTTTGGGTTCCCTGGGGGTGGGTGCTGCTTCCATTTCTTCGTTTTGTGTATTTGATAGCACT